AGCAAACTCTCATTTAAATATACAACAAAATTTTTAGTTTGAAAGACAAAATTTTAAAAGAATGCAATAGAATGTTTTTAATTGTCATTTTCTTTAATTCCGTAATTATAAGCTTTCTTTCTTTCTTTCTTTCCACCGACAGCGAGGCAGCCGGTCCACTGGGTAGTTAGCATATCGGCCAGGTAGCCCCGCTGACGGAAATAACTTGAACAAAAGACACACTTATAAATACATATTGTGCTCAAGACGACTGCTGGGGGCAGTGCAAACAAATGCTGGACGAAGACGATAGTGCATGATGGAACATTGCGGGCGTGAAGAACAATTCCAGTTACATATTTACAGAGTAATGGATAGGTGGTTACAAATACTAAAAGTAATAAGAAGTAAAAAACTAGAAAGTAAAACAATGCATAAAATAAAAAAAAGGCAAAACAGTGGAAACAATACATAAAATAAGGCAAAATACATAGTTCAAGGTTCATAATTCAAGGTTTACAGTTCAAGAAGATAAATATATACAGGGAATAAGAAAAGCCGAATAAGCTAACTTAAGATAAAATTAGTTCGCTACAGGTACAGAGCATACAGGGGCTGTGCTGGTGACGAGGATGGTGGCTGAGAATTACTCCAGCCTGTCTGAGATTATGCGTGCAATGTTTATGCAATCGCATATGCGTTTCAATGCATTGCGATTTTTTGAAGTAGCTTCGGCCCATGCATGGATGTGGTTTGCTACTGGTTGCCTAAGATGATATTTAGCGGTCTCTCTGCAAGCGAACAGATAGTGGTCCGGATCTCCTACCATTCCGCATGAGCAATGCTCGTTTTCGCGTCGTCTGAAGCGATGCAGGTAAGTCATGAAGGGACCATGTCCTGTTAGATACTGAGTGAAGTGAGACGAGCCCGATTTTAGAAGCCGGCAGCCTTTTGGAAAAAATCTGTAAACTCTTCTGCCGGTGGTTTCTCTCTCCCACAGATGTTGCCAACGTTTAAGTAATTCTCTCTCGAGCTCAGCTTTTAAGAACGAACCCGGGAGAGGCACGTCAACTGTGAGAACGTGGGGGTCAGTTGCTGCTCTTTTGGCTATTGCATCTGCAATTTCATTACCCAGTATTCCAGTGTGGGCAGGTACCCACTGGAGTTCAGGCCTATAGCATTTAGGTGTTCTTAGTAAGAGTTTTTGTATGGCCCTGACGAGTGGATTTTTACTACATTTGCCTTGGATTGCCTGGAGGCTAGAGGCTGAGTCTGAATATATACTGGAATAGTTATTTTCCAGTGCGTAGACAAGTGCAGCTTGTAATGCAATCAGTTCAGCCTGAAAAACTGAGTTGTGGTGCTTAAGCTTTCTTTCCCAGGTCTTTAAGATCTGGTTCCCAAGTAGGGCACAGTATCCGCTACCGGTGCCACATTCTCCTTTGGAACCATCGGTGTAGATTGCAGTTAATCGAGATATTGAATTCGGCCGGGTGGCAAGGTGGCTCGGGAATGCTTTGCTCATAGTCAGTATAAACATAAGTCCTATCCCATAAACTTATTGTCTCTTTGAGTCGGAGCACTCGCACTATTGCACTCTCGCGCTGAGCTAAGAGATGCAGAGGCGGTAGTCCTGAAATCACGTTTAGAGCATTAGTGCGCGAGGTTTTATATCCTCGGGTAATGCTCAGGAGGAATGGTCTTTGTGCTGAGCGTAGCAGATTCTCCATTTTAGTAGTGATCGTTATGCCCCACATGGAGGCTCCATATAGAGCAATACGTTCAGCAACTACAGAGTACCACGTCTTAAGCATCCTCGAAGAAACTCCCCATGTTGGTGCTGCTGTTCTGAGCATGGAATGAAATATCCTGTGAAGTCGTGCCTTGACCTCCTTTAAATGTGGCATCCAAGTCAATGTGTCGTCAATTAAAAACTCCAAGGTACCTCAAGTTTCTGACTATTTTAATATTTTTCCCATGAAGGTTGATGCACGGGGTTCTTCGATGGCGCTTACCTGGACAGATAAGCATACCTTGGGTTTTTGAGTTGGCAATAGTTAACTTATGGTCATTGGCCCATTTGGCCATCTTGTCCATTGCTTGTTGTGCCCTAGTCTCATATGCGTTGCGGCTGTGCCCTTTGGTTACCAGCAAAAAGTCATCGGCATAAGCCAGTATTTCCGTGTGAGGATCTGTGTTAAAGAGAGTCAGCGCTGTGTCCGCTACAAGATTCCAGAGCAGTGGACCCAGACAGGATCCTTGAGGACAGCCTCTATTGATGGAACGTGAGTGCACTCCTGCGTCCGTAGTGGCTTGTAAGCGGCGATCACTTAGGTAGCTGTAAATAAGGTCAAAGAGAATCTTAGGGCTACCCATGTCCTGTAATCTCTTCAGTACATCGGGCCACCACAACGAGTCGAAAGCGCCCTGTATATCCACAGAGATAATGAGACTATGTTGGTTATTTATTCTGTTATTTGCTATTAATTTTCGTAGGTGCTGCAGCGCGTGATCCACCGATCTGCCAGGAATGAAGCCGTATTGTTTGTCATTTATGCTTTGTCCAGACAGGATATAGTGTTTAAGTCTTTGAAGGACGACTCTTTCTAGTACTTTACCCAAGGCAGGAAGAAGGCAAATAGGCCGGTAAGACGTTGGTACATTAGGGTCTTTTTTCGCTTTGAGGAAGAGCACCACCTCACCAAGTTTCGTGCCGGCTGGGAAATATCTGTTGCGCCAACACGCAGTGATGTAGGCATGCAGTAACTCCGGATGCATACTGTTAATGGCTTGCAGAATGCCATTATCTATCCCATCAGGACCTGGTGCTTTATTGGTGTTTAACGCTTTAACAATGTCGCTTATTTCTTTGGCGTTAGGCAGTGGTTCAAAATCTGTTTTCTTGGTATTGTAATATTGCTCAACGCTGGCTCTGATATTTCTTTGTGCGGGATTATCTGTGTCTGCGTTATCAGGTCTAAAGATATTGTCCAGAATGTGCGCAACTACTTCTGTGCTAGTTGCTGCTCCGTGGCTTATTGTGGCAGTAAGATTAGTAGGTGTAAACATCTTGTCATGTGCAATACGGAAGACAGTTCCGAACTTATTCGCAGTGTTGGTACAGTACTCTTTCCAGGATGAAAACTTCGCTTTTGCAATCTGTCTTTTGTAAGCAGCTCTGTGCTTTCGAAAAATTAGCGAGTGTGTCTCTCTTTCTAAGGGATCCTTGCATGCTTGCATTTTGCGCCTTAGGGCACGGACTTTGCTGCGTTCAGCAGTCAGCGTGGTGCTCCACCAAGGAGTGCATTTCGGGGCTGCGTAATGTTTCCTTTTCAAGACTTTTTCGCACACTGAGAGCAGTGTTTGCATAAGATCTTCATGCATGGCGTCGATGTCTTTACTACTGTTGCAATTGTTACATTGTGCCACGAGACTTTCAATATGGGTTGAAAGTGCATCTTTAAATTTGTTCAGGTTTATATACTTCGTTTTCCATCTGTTCTTTGTTATAAATTGGTGCTCCGAATCTATTCTGAACTCAATGTAGCGATGGTCACTGAACGAGGGAGTTTCGCTAACCTTCCAATTGTGAATATTATTAAGAATACCAGTGGTGGCTAAAGTGATATCAGGCCACCCCTGAGCCCTGGTAGTCCAGTATGTAGGAGGGCTGTCGGTGGGGTTGACGACTGCAAGGTTATGAGAAGTGATGAAGTCAAGGACAGGGCAAGCACGCCTGTTTTCCTCTGGCGCACCCCATAGAGGGCTAGCAGCGTTAAAGTCCCCAGCGATTATCTTATTCCTAGTCGGAATCATCATGACTTGTTCCAGCTCCTGGAGTGCAGTGACAATGTCGTGCGAAGGAGGAAAATACACGCTGGTGATGGCAATCTGACCATAAGGCCCTTCCAGTTGTACAGTAACTGTGTAATCTCCTTTATGCATTAGCAGGGGCGTGAGTGGACCATTGTAGGCGATGGCTGCTTGATTGCCTACTGAATGGTAAGTTTTGAAGTTGCTGAATCCTGTGATCCTGTTGTTAATGGAATGAAACTCTTGTAGTGCGGCTAGATCTACATTGTTTTCTAGAATAACCTGGGCTGCATGGACAGTTGCGGCTTGGCTGCGTTGCAAGTTGCTTTGAAGAACTGCAAAACCATGTACTGTTCTTGGATATGCAATAGCCTGCTGTTCATCTACCACTGCGCCGTTGATTTCATTCTGAACAGTTCTGCCTTGTAGGCTTGACATTGTCTTGCACTAGACGGGTGTGTGGGTGTCGAAGCTAGTGCCTTTGGATTTATTGTGAGTTGCGCAATTGACGCAGTGTGGAGTCTTTGCTTTGCAGTTATCCTGGCTATGAGCTTGTCCACAGTTTACACAGGCCAACGCTGCTTTACAAGAATGACTCAAGTGTCCCAGCCGCTGACAATTAAAACACCTTGCAACTTGAAAGTATTTTCTGAAAGCACAAGAGCTGAATCCTATAAGAATTCTTCTAAGGTCCTTAATATCCTCGTACAGATTCTGCTGTAGGTCGACGATCCAAGGTGAGGCCGATAGTTGTGCGAATAGGATTTCTTGGATGTATTTGTTCTTCACTTGCTGAGGGCACCAGGCTCGCAAAAGCTTCACGTATGTCGTCTGCTGTTGCGGATGTGGGGGTACCAAAGACGATTATTGTGGACGTTCTGAAAGAGGGCTCTCTGAGCGTGACTGCTGCTGAGAGTGAGGGCTTTTCCTCAATCGCTTTCCTGAGTGTTTCTATATTTTGTCTGTGGCTGCACCTAATTAAAAGTTCGTTAGAGCGTGTGGGCCGCACTTCTTCAACAGTAATGCCCAGTTCCCTGGCGCTAAGTTCAGTAGTCAGTTGTGTTCTGACTTGTTCTGGATCTTGTTGTATCTGTTAAGCTAACTGTAATACGTCTGCACGCAATGTACTACACATAGTTTTACATTAATACATTTAGTCTAAAGAAGGAGAGAAAGTGTATTTTGAAAATAATAAAATGCATACTTACTTTTTAACATTATTAGTAGTACTGTTAAATGGAGACAAAGTCGACATTGTAAAAGCAAGAGTTGTATGATTTATATTTGATGCTGGATTTTGTTCGGGGCATTCGTTGGACATAGGCAGCTTGTCATATTTAACAGACGTGGGAACGAAACTCAGGTACGAAGATACGGCAACACTTGCAATGATGCCAATAATAACACCCTAAAAATAATAAATGAATAATCATAATCACAGTAAAACGTTAAAGGGCAAAAATGCCGGAAAAAATATAAATCGTCCATTTCATATGTCAATACATTAAAAGATTTCTTTTATCATGCTGCGATTGTTGAATGCCATATGTCCCTCAACATGTATCTGCTTCATGATTTGAGTCTCATTGCCATCATTATACGATTATGATTATATATGTTCTGCTACATTACTCAGAGCGCTACACGGCCTGACCCCAACTAAAGACCACTGCATTAGGCGGGAGTTGGGACACCCTGACAAAGCCCCTTAGAGAGGATTATATAATTCACTTCCCGGGTCGACGGACTTTCTGATGTCTCTCTAAATCCATCGCTTAACTGATCAGCCAGAGCCATCCTTCCCGAAGAACAGAGACCATGATAGAGTGAGCTTCTACATCTGAAAGTTTAACTGGTAGGCTTGCTCGTACTAGTACTACATTGGCTTTCCAGTGACATACAGCACTTGCAATAGAACTTACACAACCTTGGCCTATAAACCTTCGTTTTGTCGCCATTAGCCCCTCCTCATAGGTTAGGTAGAACTGCCAGGCTTGTGTTTTTATAACCCTGGTGCCGACTGCCAGCGTATAGAACTCTACCAGTATAATAAACGACAGGCATAAGAGATGCAGCACGCAGCTACGTGGATGAAGAGCTAAAGTCGATCACATTAATACAAGTGCTGTTTTGCAGTTAGCTAATGCGCGGGAACGCACAAAGAACATCAGTATCAAAATCCTGAAAAATATCCAGATGCTTCTGCCGCGATCACGATCCCCAGATCTCTCCGCAATGAAGCATCTGTGGTATGTAATCAGCTGCTATTTGATTACCAGTCTGAAATTGTTGTCTAAAATGCAGAACGAACAGATGAAAATAATGGAACAGTGGCAGAAACAATACCATCATCCATACCTCAAGATGCTATCCGAATATTGATTGAATCTGTACCGTGAAAACTTGTTGCTTGTGTCGATCAAAGAAGTACCCTCTTGGCCTTTATAACAGCTACACCAGGAAGGAAAACGAGTAGCAAACTTATTTTTATACATGTACCGAATAATAGGAGGAAGACGTGATTAAATTTTCACGGTTCTTGGGATACAGAGAGCGCAGAATGTAGTATCCAAAGTTGGCAACTCTGGCAGGAACAATGGGTTGGGCGCGGAGTCGAGATGAGCTTGGGTGACGCATACGAATACTTCATTCCATGCGGGCTTCAACTCTATCTCAGAGTTCATTAATCGAAGTGGAAGGCAATTGGTGTCATGCCTGTCTCTTGACAACGCATTGCAACATGTTCTCAGTGGGTGCGACATGCGGAGAACGTGATGACCAGAACAACAGTTGAACACCCTGTGTATGGAGGAAGATCAGAATAACACGAACAATAGGCGATCATGTATTATCGTACTGAAATATTGGGTCCCGCAAGCCTCAAATTTAGGGCACAGCCGGGGACTTTTAAATTTGAGAAATGCAACGGCGGCTGTCCAAATTACCGGCTATTCGAACAATAGGTGACTGGCATGTGTGCCTAATAACATTCCATATCAGCAAGCCAGCTTATGGGTCCGTATGAAAATGCAAGCTGGCAACATCTTTCTCTTCGTTGCCTCCGCACATTGATACGTCCATGATGCTTTTCGTAGAACCGGCATTTCTCTGAAAAGACGACGCGGTACCACTCCAGTGTCCAGTGTCGTCATTTGTTGCACTATTATAGGAGCGCCTGTCTCTGCTGCCGCGTCAAGAGAAGCTGCAACAGTGGTTGCTGTTCTGACAGTCCGTGGTGTTGCAGAAATCATCTTGCCCATACGGACAGTTATGGTCTTGCACACGAGTGAATTTCCAAATTCAGGATACGTGACGTGGCTGTACGACCTCGCAATATCGAAAAGAAAATATTTCTGTCCTCTATGGCGTTAGTGGCCCCAAGCCGCTGAAATCCTGACATGGCGTTCCGTATTGTCCTTCTACACCCATCGATGCCATATTCGCCAGATAGTCATGGGATCCTGACCGAAAACAGCAGCAATGTTGAACACAATTCTGGTAGATCGAAGTAGATTCTGACATGTGCTGGTAGGAGTTCATCCTTCTTACGCGTGACATAACACGACCTATATCTATGCAATCAAAATTCAAATATGATTTCTAAATGAAAAACCTGCTGTTCACTCTTCCCATTTATACACGTAGATGGTATTAGTCATAGCTATTTTGTAGATATAGATGACATTAGTCACACCATGCACTGGGATGCTAATCATTTGTATATTAAAGTATCCTGTGCCTTTAAGCTATATTTGGTGTTTGTTGCATACCGCCTTCATGGTGCAGCAATTTTAACGATCAGCAGTTTTATTTTCTACTGATTATCTTATGCGTTCGATCTCTGTAGAGAATAGCAATCGTGAAATTAAAATCATTTATTCAAACATGAATTAACTATCTATGTTAATTTTCGTCAAATCCTTTTTGTTTCTTCATGATGCTGCATCGTTTCTCTCAGGTAAAGTGCTTTTGGGAGTCCTGTTTGCAGACAATATTTTGCCTGGCATTCCTAAGAAAACAAACACAAGTAGTGCTATTTATAAAATGATTCACACTACGCTTCCAACTCATACGCTTGCGTGTTGTTACAAATCATTGCCTCTTAATATATATATATATATATATATATATGTAATAATAAAATTCCATAGTCAAAAATACACTTAAAATTCTAACTGTATGTTCTTTTCATTTTTAATGGCGACGGTCTCTTATTTGAAAGTACGTGGAATTAAATCCACAACCCCGTAGTCAAGTTGTTTTTCCCGCCTTTTCTACACGTACAGTTATAGAATGTTCTGGAGATATTTAAAGCGAACTGGAATGGCTGACGAGGCTGACGTAATTTTTTGGAAACTCCGCCTTTCCAGAGGCTATAAAAGGACTCGCAAAGGAATATCGGGGGTCTTTTCTTTAATGTAACGATGCAGTAAACTTCATACAAAAAGTTATTAGTAGTTCTGTTTTAGCAATATTTACTCCGGAGATCTGATTTTTGTAACTGCTATTTTTCCTGAATAATAATAAATGGATCCTGGTTTTTAAATTTATCGTCTGATAGTTTGAGCTTCTACTACGTCTATGATTCTTCACCAATCTATTTATTCCGGACAAAAGCTGGTACATCATATATATATATATATATATATATATATATTGTATTTCGAAAACATAAAGGAACTATAAGTTGAACTGCGTTTTTAAGACAATAAAGTAGCATTATATTGAGACTAATTAAACCAAACATTTATCACGTGCAAAGTACATTAGCGACAGAATTTAATAATCTTCTAAGACTGGTTTGTAACTAAAATGTTAGATATCTAAAAAATTAGAAAGACAAATTAAAACGAGCGGGGTTCACACCCACAAGTTTTAAGGCTCTTTACCTCTTCATTAGCTGTTGTCGTGAGAGATGCTAAGAGAAACACCGCCAGATTAGGACCAGCAATCATTCCAACCACAACAATTGTCGTTTTTATAAGATTTCCAATAGAAGCTACCAAGAATGATAAAGCTATGCACAAAATACCGTAGAGTAAACCTGAAAAATAAAGTGAGGTATGATACCATATGCCTTTCTATGGTGAGTGATTTGTTAAATTAAAAAAAAGTATACAACCATTCTTATTTTCAATAGAATCCTGATTACCCAAGGCAAATCGGAGCAAAGTTGCCTAACTGAAACTAAACCCTCATTATAAAAGAATAAAAAAATTTCCAATAAAAAATTATGACTATGAAGTTTTTCACTTATTTTTACATAATAAAATACCAATCCTGGATTTTCTTTCTCACACTAGCGAATTTAATGGCGTGCACCAAATATTTTTATAAAATGCTTCTCGAACAGTCCTTTTTAAAATGCAAAGAATTATTTTCAGTCAAATTTTAAGAAGTAGCCATCAGAACGCACACATTTAGTCCAGCGGTCCTATGATTATTGGAAGCACTCAGAGAAAATTTCTTTTGCTGTTAATTTGTTAGAGGTTAGTTGTCGCTTGAGCAATTTTCAGCTTGTGCTATCTCAAACCACTACGGTACAATTATCCTGATAAGAAAGAACAGGCATTATAAGGATCTATTTCTAATTGAAGGAAACCCAAGCTTCTTTTGTTGAAAACGGCTTTATTCAAAATACGTCATGGCATTGATTAACTTACAGACGCATCACTCGTTTGTGTTACATCATGCTCCGGATAGCATGGCATCTAATCTTATAGAAACTCTTCTTGCTAACCTTCTAGAAAGCATACTGTGACGCTTTGTGAAACTAAAATAGAGTTTACTAATATATATATAATAATATAGTTGTGAAACTAAATTAGAATTTTGCAAATTGTAATATACGTGACATGATATTTCGACAAAAGTTTTGAACGGATTTGTATTATATAAGGCGTTTCAAAGCCTATTTCACTAAATGTCGCTTAAAAGGTGTGTAGTATATTTCAAGTTCCGTATGAAATAAATAAAATAACATAGCTTTTAAAATTTTTTATTTATGGTAACGTATTACCTTCTAGTAGAGGCATACAGAATTGATAGTTTTAATTATACTTTCTACAAAGAAAGTTTCTAAGAAATATTGGATTCATTTAATTGTGCTTTCTTTAAAAAAACATTAATTTTTTTTTTTTTTTCTAATTCTACTAAAGACCGTTAAAAATATTAGCTCTGTAACAGGGATTGAAACATGCAAAGATTGGATTTGAAGCATTCAAAGTACACTGCTGGCCATTAAAATTGCAACACCAGGAAGGAATGATCTGACGAACATCAAAATCACGTGAAAGTAAGGAAGACGTTGGGATATGCAAATGATTAGTATTTCAGCGCATTTAGACGATGCAGGAGGGAGAAACGATATCTGAAGCACTACTTAAAAAAAACTTTGTGTAGTGGATCTCTCATTCGGAAAGTGCTTTTTAAGCCTGGAGTTTGCTTGGAATATCATGTTATGCCTCGAATAAGAAGAGGAAATTCTTACCAGCAAATTCCGAAATTCGATAGAATCGTTGCCTATCGAAAGTGTAGATTATCGGTCCGTGATATCGCCGGTCACACTGGTCGACACCCAACCACTGTCATGCGAATATGGAATAAATGGATTGCTGAGGGTCATACGGAACGGCATGTAGGATCTTAACGCTCTCCCATGACTAACGCCAGAAAGGATAGACATAGTGTGAGATCAGCCCTGCAAAACCATACGACCACATCACGGGCCATTAGTCAGAAAATGGGCATGGTTCGTTGACAATGCAGCATAGAGACAGACGGCGACTCTGGTGCGCTAAATGACAAAGCTGGATAGAAGAGTGGCAAAATTTTCAAAGGAGTCCTGGTTCTGCGTGCAGTATTCTGATGGCCGTATACATGTCTGAAATGCCCGAGGAGACCGCAAGTCATCCGTTTGCATTCAGTATCGGCATAGGGGCCCTGCACCTGGTGTAATGGCTTGGGAAGCCATTGAGTACACGACACGCACATCTCTAGTTCGAATAGACGGTAATTTTAATGCAGATGGGTACATTTCTAACATCTTACGTCCAGTGGTTGTGCCCTATCTTTGAGGCTCCCAAATGCCATGTTCCAACAAGATAATGCAAGACCACATATTGCACGTCGTGTTCTGACCCTCCTCAGTGCACAGGGTATTCGATACTGCCCTGGCCTGAATGATCTCCAGATCTGTCACCCATTGGAAACATCAGGTCATGCGTTGCTGAGAGACTAGCCCTCCACCTCTCTCCAGCTAATATGGTCGATGAAGTGTGGCACAACAGCATGGAATAAGTTGCCCATTTCTGTCATCCAAGACCACTTCGACGCTATGCCTAAGGGGATAAGGGCCATTTTAGCTGCCATTGGTGACAGATGTTTCTACTAATTTCGCACCCCTGTAAACCTCCCAAACGCTTACAAATTTAATCATTTTGTCTTCATGCCATACTGTTTACGTGCAACAAATATCTTTTTTGCATTTGCTTTCTTTATGATGTTGCAATTTTAATGGCCAGAAGTGTAATACGAATTAAATGACACTGTAAAAAGGAACTATATGAAATCAGGATTTCAGTATCCGAAAAATACTAAATTATGTTAAATAAAATTTTTGTTAATTAATTTTAGCATTTTAGTAAGTAGGCGTTTATTATCCATGCTTCTATACTCTTGTTTCTTTTACCTTAAATGCAGTTTTTGGAAAATTTTATTCGAAAATATGCTATGTGACAATTTCATATACTATTCACATTTCCTGACTTTCCTGAGGTTTTTTACATTTCCTGACTTCGGAAACCCTAATGGTCTCTATAACAGCGCCCAACTGAAATATGGTTGTAGTAACTTGTGGCCTCTTGAATTTATTTCACTAAGTCTCGTGCTTCTCTCTCTTTGCAGAAATGATGGCAGAATGTAAGGAATTATCTTATTCCTTTGTCCTTGCATATGTGGTAGGTTTGTAGCACATCCAGTGAACAAATCGTGTTTCAAATCTCGTCGAAACCACAGCAGAAGTTTTACATTTCTTAGGTTTGAAAACTCTAACGGTCACTATAAGTTTACATTTATTTTCATTACTGCATCATTTGTTATAAATCTGACTGGTGTCATAATGAGCATTGTAGAAGTGGTATTTTTAAATAGTTTTCTTCATAATAAAATTAAAATAAAACATAAATAGAAGAAAAAGAGGAAAAAGGAAAAAAATGGAAAAATTATTTTGCAATGCAACTTCCCGTTTAGAATCTTCTTAAAATTTAAATTAGCGTTTTATAGGAGTTGAATAAAACCGCTAAGCAGTGATAGTTCAATTCGGGTTTAAATTCCAGTCAATACGATGATTTCATGGGCTTTCGAAAGCATCCCTCCCTTTAAGCAGACAATCTTAGAGTGCTTTGCCGTGTTCGAGCAAACGAAAATGCAAGCATCCAAAATTAACAAGGTGTAATGAGGACTTATGTTCAGCTTCAGTGGCACTTACATTATATGCACGTAGAATCATGCTTGAAATTCTGCATGATAGCAGCAATATTCTCTGCGAAATGTTTAGAGGAAAAGTAACATGTTTAATTTACAAGCTTCCTTCGGAAAATATAGGACGGAAGTTAACTGGCCTCACATGTTTGAAACTCTATTTTTACTTCCAAAGCATTTTGATTCTGTTAGTAACTTTAGTTTCTTTAGAACTTTGCCTTCTGTCTCAAGTAACATTTGAAAGTGTATTTTAAATGGAAAATTTTTAGTGAAATTCTTTCCTTCAAAGACCAAAAATATTATCTCACGTACAAGATTTTGCAATAATTGAATTTGGCTGCTAAAGGGTGTTAGAATATTCTCCACAGAAAATATGTACGAACAGATGTAAAATGGAAAAGAGTAGTTGCGACAATATAAACGGAATTAAAGTATTTTTGATCATTCAGAGCAACGTCGCATTTTGAGCAAAGGCCACTTGAGCAAAGAAACATGGAATTCTTCGATTAGGTCGTAGGCTACAATATTTCCCACCATACGATATGCATTCTTTCTTGCGAACGTTTTAAGAATATTAAAATTCTTTGAAAGAAAATTAGTGGCCAGTCTGAGACAGATATCCAAAGCGATATTCTACCAGTATTTCCAGGGATGACAAAAGCGTCCGAGCAATTATTTATGTTGTAACATTACTTCTAAAATGGCTGGGTAATAATCTGAAATAAGACTACCCTACGCATATTTTCTGCTTCGTGGCGGATATTTAAATTATATGTACACTTACGGCCAATAAAATAACGAACAAAGAAGGTACCTTCAGGATGAGCTTAAATTTTGTTGATGTACTGTAAAAGATTAATGTTGCACATTATTGGAAAACCAGAACGACAGCGAATACAGAAGCATTTGCAGTACTGAATTCGTTTAACTTAATACAATGTTGTATCCTCTGATGCTGCAGTTTGGCTGAGATAGGAATAAAACATATGATTAAAGTTAAGTTAACGAGGAATGGATACAAGGTCCCCGACCATGGAATTGTCTGGCAAATGACATAATCTATCGTAGATGGTTTGAGCAGTGACGCAGCCGATCATTATTTTGCTGGAATACTTATTCATGATTGGAAACATAAGAAATCATTTCCATATCACTGGTCGTCCGTATTCTGTTTACAACTACATCAGCAATTCTATATCGTAGGCTGTAGTCTTCCAGATTATATTGCTTGCACTGGGGAAAATGTGCGGATCAGTAGAGATATGATCATCCATTTTCAAAATTAAGCGTCACTCATCACTAAATGTACTCATGTTTAGACTGTGGCATTCAACGTTGCTCTAGGCTGGCTGGAAATAGAGTTGCCGATGCTCCGGTGTTAGAGATAGTATACGTAAAAGGCGCTAAAATCACACTCTTCCGCGAGCGTCTACAGGCTCCATTACGTGTTTACGTGTCTGTCCACTACTTCTAAATCATTGGACAGAATGGCAATAACGATAGACGTGGCGAACTGGCTTTATGATTTTTAGTCCAAAAAAAGATTTTTCTGAAACACGCGATGCCTAAATTGTAGTCTGGTGTCCTTTGAGTACTCTTGTTTCCTTCGCCGCTTGCTTTCCTCGCATATATGCGGCCAACGAAACACCGATTTATAAAGGCTGCCGCTTCATATTTATAGTGCTACTGCATGGTGTGCAAATCTGTCAAACTAGGGCATGTTTACCTCTTTTTGCACTGACTTCCTTTCCTTGAAGATGTAAAACATCTGATATTATGATTAGCTGTTTAAATGTTTTCTTGACTTCCGGTTAAAAAAGGGCCATATATGAATGGTATTCTAGCTACTTACTTAGAGTTTTTGTTAGGAAAACCGAATTGCTAAATCTCGGCCATATGGGTTTAATGAAGTCTTCTGCCATAACTGCAGCGAATGAGTTCACTGTAGATGATATCGTGCTCAGAGATGCGCTGAAGATGCCGGCAATGCACAGGCCAGGAAGTCCTGGATATTCACTCATTGTAGTCGCAATGTAGTAAGGCAGTAACTATCAGGTAAGAAAAAAAATCATTGCGTATCGTATAAAAACTAAAAATAGTGAAACTGTATATTAATAACAACTTAATAAATTTAAACAATTCGAGTTCTTTGCAATTTGATCTCCTCAAACATTTTTTAGTGAAAAAAGGGCCTTTCAGTTTACATTTTAAAAATTCATTAATTATACAATTCTTTTTTTTTTTTTTTTTTTTTTTCGTTTCACTGAAATGGAATTTATTTAAGACGGAGTTATTTTTTTAATAACACTGCTGTAACACTCCATACTGAAATGGAATTTACATAGGGCTGATTTAGCTTATTTTTATAACATTTATGCAATGTTTTATTCTTTATATAGTTTTCACATCGAAGGTTTTCTTTCCTCCTTTTGTGAAAATTGTTTTAAGACCTATATTAATAGTATATAGGGACAAATTCTGATTGATTTTCTGTAAAATGTATGGGTCCAATGTGGTATTCCTTGTCATCATCGGTTTATGTTTTTATTTTCTATTGTTAATAACCTAATATTTTATACGTTTCTGCGAGAATTTATGTTATCTTATTTCCTTTTCTTCCAAAGGATATTAGAAGTTAATTATTATATTTCCGACGAATTTATTCGTTAAAGGCTGTAGTCTTCCAGATCATATTGCTTGCACTGGGGAAAATGTGCGGATCAGTAGAATTTATACGTTAGTTTTTCAGTTCGCAAAAAGTTTTAATAACTTCCATTACCGTTATAGTTAATCATAAATGAGATTAAATCATGTGTGCGAGTTTGTAAAGGTCTTTCAGACATAAATGTAATGCGGAAAAAAGTATTTTGAGTACTTTTACATCTTACTAAAAGAAAGTTTAAAAGATAAACGGTATTAAACTTCCGAAAATGTGCTTAAAATTTGTGTATATCGTCCTATGTGCACATTGTGATAAAACTGAATTGCATTCAGATTTGTTCAAAATGTACCTGTAAAATATTCAGGTTTCTTCTATGCGCTTTAAAGCACATTTACTTCCTGTTGTGAAAAATAACAATTGCTTATGTATTTGAAGAAGATTTTGAAAAATTTCTTCGGAAAATAGAATCAGCTCTTAATAATTACGCCTATGTATGAAAATAAACGAGTTTTTTAAAGAAATTTTGAGAAACCATTTTGAAGAAAAAAAGCATTCCTTGATTAGCAGTAGATAAACAAGATCTCTCCAAACTGCTGCATAAACACTTCATTCAATATTCCTCATCGTAAGTGTATAAAAACGTGATATTATAACTATGCGTCTATGACTCCTAGTTTTTGAGAAAAGGCGAATAAAACCTTTTAGCGCCATGCCTGGTTTAAGAAAATCAAACATTACCTTAAACGCTATAAAGCTCGAAACTATTAATATAAACTCTAATTTACTAATAGTAAAGAAAATTTTAGATGTATTTTACGCGATTTATGAATACAAATTACATTGTATTCATAAATCGCGTAAAATACATACATACATACGATTTATGAATACAAATTGGTCAAGAAAGCTTCCTTATATAAAAGTTTGTAAGCATTCTTACGAATTGAGGAGCTAATATTGCCTATGAACTTCCACATGGAAATTCTCTTTTCTAGTTAAACTAACGCTATTGCTCAACGACATTGGTAAATTTGTCTATCGTTCTAAATTTTGGCATACACTATCTGTAAACAGTCTCATTTAAGTAATGTTTTAGTAACTTAAATTTATCAAACCGACAAGCAGAGATAGCTTCAACAAGGTCGAAGACGTATGACTAGATTAGGCTTTTTGAGTATGGCAAACCCAAGCTCTCTGTCTAAGAGAAGATTGTGAGCTTATGGAGGACTTTTGGGGAAAACTGGCTCGTACTCACCTTACACATGGGGAAAAGCAAGCATGCAGCAAACCCGTACGCTTGGGTTTGAAACCAAAGTAGGTCGAAATACCAGTATTCACTGGTCTTAACCACTCGGCCACCAGTGGAGTCCGAAAAATCTGATATGACAGATACAGGATAAATTTTGAAGTTCTTATCAGAGATTCTGAGAGTTCATTATTTAACACTTATTTTCCAAAACGGATTTTGTATATTGCGATGAGATAGCTTGTTTATTTGAAAATAGGGATACCAACACAAAGGCCGAAGAAATGGAGGCTGTTTATAGATTATAAGGTATTTCTTTTGCCTTGCTAACTCGCCTTCGTGGGGTAGTGGATATGTACGCTGAGCCGGTATTCCAGAGGTCCGTGGTTCGATTCCCGGTGAAGGGCGTTTGCTAATTTTTTCATCTTGCCTGCTTCCAAAAAATACCTAGTGTCTCTACAGTGGCACCCGAACTAAAAGCGTTTTGGATGATGATTCTCCGCACCCAGAATTTGGCGATTGGGTCCCCTAAAAAAACAGTCGTCCTTTATAAGGGGGAGTATATAAGGTATTTTTGCTGCTACCTAGCGTGCCTTCGTGGTGTGTGGTTCTGAACGCTGGGCCGGTATTCCAGAGGTCCGGGGTTCGATTCCGGCAAAGGCATTTGCTCATTTTTCATCTTCCCTGCTTCCAAAAAATGTATGTATACATAATGTCTCTACAGGATATTGTTCGAACAAAGCATGAAAGTAGTCATGTTTCAGGAGGAAAAAAGCATAATTTTTAGTGCTACTTAGTTATTCTACATGCATTAAATGATCCTATAAAAACATAAAATTTTACTTAGCAGTGTATATTAATGCAAAAGCTAATGACAAATTACCTAGAAATATGACGAATTCTACTACGTAGACTGCAATGTTTGTATACAAAATACTATTATGTTTTGCACGTGTGGGATCGTAAAGACAAGCATCATATTAAAATTTCAGGTGTAATAGGAATACTTTAAACGCCTTAAAATAAAATCCTATTTTTACGCGCCGTTTAATTATTCAGCTAGCTGGTAACTTAGTATTTAACTGTGCAGTCTTAGGCTTGGATTAACGTTTAATTTGAATTGACTGTTCTTATTTCATTTATATCGACTCAAGCTGTGGTTATTCGTAGCACCCTGACCCTTAAGTTATGCCCTTACATTTAAAGTTCTGTTTAAATGAAAACTCTGTTTTAAAACCTTCACAAGAGTTTCTATATGTATAGAAACTATCTCAGACTATCTTTAGGTACTATCTCAGACATGGTGATAACTCAATACATATTAGTTAGGGTTACAGGACTAAAGTTCCGGTATTAAACAAGTACTGCCACCTTCTATAAAGTAATAAGTTTGAATTTGAAGACATAACGAATAAGCCTAAATTTTATGCAGAGCAGTTCTGCACGAAAGGGTAACATAAAATGAAACAAAAATGATAGAAAATATAGTTATTGAACTTTTGAAAAATTGCAAAGAGGGTGCAATATGGCGCTTAAAATTCAGTTTCTTAACTCTTATCCTGATATTTCCAGGAAATTTTAGGATCCCTAAATGGATAGAAGTAGAACATTTGCATTGGGAAATGATGCTATAAAGAACGTGTACAACCACAACGCTAAGCAATTAAGCTAAAGAATAAATGGCGATATAGTAGATACAAAATATTGAAGGAAATTTACTAGAATTGTAGTCAAAGCAATTATCACTGATTATAATGTTTTATACATATAAAACAACGATATATTTTATTAAAGTTATACCGTTGTCAGATTGAAAACAAAGTTCAATGGTAAAATTCAAAAAGCTCAATATTTCACGTCTCTATAACAAAAAATGAATGAAATTCCGTTGCTCAGTTTTATTAGCGTTCTTTAATTGCAATACAAGAAGCCATACCGAAAATACTCGTAATTATCGCAAGTTTCCCTAGGAGGTCGTTTTGAATATTGAAAATTAAAACTTTAAAATCTGAGAGTAGTGAATATTAGAAATTCGAGCGGCTAAAATTGATGCGTAATATGATACATGCCAGTTTCGCTCAGAAAGTCTTCCATGAACTCATCCTTCCCATCATATAAAAAAACCTTCTTGCGCTTCGCTGTATTTAATTATATAGACAAATTGTAAAAGAAAATTTGTAAAATAAATTAACATTTGTAAAAGAAAAATACTATATAAGTCAGTAGGAATTATTCTGCAGCAGAAAATTTGATCTGAAAAATCAATTTATATATCTAATGCAGAAAAAAACTTATTATTATATTAATTTATATATTTTGTTTTATTTCCGATAATTTTTTTTTCACTATTTTACCGGTACTAGTTGTTCCAAAACTTTACCTGATCCGCAGACTGAACTGGCTTCTCAGGAGAAGTCATAGGATCGCATAACCGGTAAGTAGCATAGATAACAAGACCACTCAGACAGCATAACAGCTGGAATATTACTAACATTGGTGCACTACAAACTGTGGCACTGAAAGAGAGAATGCTAGCTTTAGCTGTTAAGACTTGTAACTTTTCGTAGTGATTGCTTACATTTTCTTCAAAGAAAAGCAACAACTCACGAATACTCGGAAAGCAAAGCTGCTTCAGAGATACTGGTTCCAAAGGCCAATCTGGCTTTTATCAAGGACACTAAAACTAAATTTTTTCCTATCATACTCACATGAAATGATATATACAGAATGATGCTTTATATCAGTAGCTGCGGTTAAATAACATTCCTCTTTGTCACGTCCATCTTTATCATTTCCCCAACCTTATTCTTACAGTGTATGTATGGCCATGATGTTTTGGTTGATCAATGCAAACAGAAACGGAACAGAAGACGTTATTATTTGATTTTTGACACGCTGTTATATGTTACCAATCATATATAAGTATTGAAAATAATCAGAAATTATTAACTGACAAAAGAATCAGTATAGTTAATTGATAAATATATTGCGAGAGACAATACACTTCTTTTATACCGCCGAGTTTTGTGATTAAATTTGAAACATTAAATCTGAAATCTTATGATCTGCAGAGTAACAACATAAAACTCACTGATGACAGATGAAACATGTTCTTACATCGTTATATGATAGACTTTTGCTTCTAAATATTGCGTATGAATTCTGCTGTAACCACGATTTTTAACTAAAACTTGTGGATGGATTTTTGTGTTCAGAATTTTGCCGGAATTCATTTGATATTTTAGAATAATTCAACAAGTTTCGCAGTTTGTTTGTGAACTGACAATTTTATTAACAACGATCAAATCAATAAAACTTCAATCGAAGCTCTGAATATTTTAATAATCTACAGAAAATGGAAATTTGAATATATTAATTTTTAACAAGCTGTTGGAAAATGGTGCTACCATTGCGATGCCTCTATACTATCTCACTTAAATTTATTGAATATCATTGTCATTTCACAGCTTTTTAGCGGAAAGAAACTAAATATTAAGAAGATTTCGTAGAAGATTTACTCAATTCATTTGATTAATGAGTACATTTTAACAGCGCCATAATGAGTATGTTTTTAACATGAGTATATTTTAAACTAATGAGTATATTTTAACAGAGCCATCATAAACATATATAATTCTATAGATGGTTAAGTAATATTGTTATAATTATATAGATTCTATAGACATATTAAGCTGCATAACAAGCACTACAAAATGTCTAGTAATAATGTCTTGCACTAAATTAAGTAGGATATATATTGTTGCGTGCGTACGGGTTCGTTATGAAAAGAATGCACAAGTCCGATGAAAAATGAAGAAAATTTATTATTATCACAACAAAAATGCTTAAATTTTCTCAGATATTCGTGCAGTATTACAATATCTCACAGTAGTTATCTTTTAACTACTCAAACGTTCAAGAGAAATTAATTCAAAACAGCTAAAGAAAGCTAATACGCGAATTCGCTACAGTCAACAAGAGCAATTTTCTAAACAAAATCTTAAAACAGCAACAAACTAACTAAGAATTCAGAAGTCAAACAACAAAAATCAGCGTTATATTTACATTTTTTTTTTTTTTTTTCCCCACAGGAATAGTTTCGATGGTTTCACCGAACCACCATCTTCAGCTGCAAAACCGCAAATGAACCAGATAGGAAATAATGATTAGATAAGATAAGAAAGCCTGGACAAGAATAAGCAAGTGGCGCCATCTGTTGGTGAAACCAGAACTAAAACACAATTTCTTTAAAGGCCGAATGCAAATTTGGATTGGAATTAGGATCGTTAACTAGAACAGAAAGATTTTTATGAATGTGAAATGCCTCTAGAAAATGCAGTTCTCCAATGGAAGATTCTTGTCCAGGCTTTCTTATCTTATCTAATCATTATTTCCTATCTGGTTCATTTGCGGTTTTGCAGCTGAAGATGGTGGTTCGGTGAAACCATCGAAACTAGTCCTGTGAAAAAAAAAAAAAAAAAAGTAAATATAACGCTGATTTTTGTTGTTTGACTTCTGAATTAGTATTTTCATCGGCGTGTTATTGTGTCTTAAACTAACTAATATCACAACGAACTGAGAGGTTTTCCTCCTTTTATAAAATTTTAAATCGCGAGCGAGAATTTTCTGGAACTTTCTTGAAATCAAAAAGAGATATTTATTTATTAAATATTAAATGCACGTGCTCTTGTATTTTTGATTTTCCGGCTTAGCTTTCCTTTAATATCCGTCACGCGCTACACTGCACGAAATAATTTATAATTCAATTAATTTATAATTCAACTAACATTAGCTATTTAAATACCAAATCCGTAGCACTATAATATATCACACGTTTTGTTATTACGTTTAATTGGTTTGAAAAGTAACACAGATTATTTATGATACACAGAGACAGCTCTAACATTATATTAACATTATATAACATTATATTAACTCTATTCGATTAGTTTCTTATTTTTATTCTGATTTAAAAGCCCGAGTGGAGGCTTTCCTGTAAGCCCGAGAAGGGGCTATCTGTTATTATTTCTTTGAGTAAATAAAAAAAAGGTTATTTTAACCCTTCTTTATACTCTGTCATAAATACTCGAACTCAGCGATAAGTCGCTACTTAGTTCACCAGATTCCTTTACATTTCACAATAGACAAAGTACTGAGGAGCATTGTAAGTGTAATAGCAGAGAGTAATTGATGATAACACTCTTGTATTTCAACATAAAATTGTGAGCACTTGCTTCATTACAAGAACTAACAGTTGCATTATATAATAAGTAATTTAATCTTATAATTAAAAATCTAATTAATTATATACATACTATTTTCTTTATCAGAACATTATACTACTATACATGAAAATACAAGGATTATGATATATTTAATACATTTAAATAATTAAGGCGTTTCCTGCTAGTAGGGAAAAAATCTAAACATGCAATATAGCATCTTTTATAACTAATCATTTAACTGAATTCGATTTTTATTAGTAACTAGTATTTTATCAGCAAATACCTCTAAATAGAAATTTTCGCCAAAACACTTTATTTAATTACAAAATTAATTCTTCGTTTCTTTAATTTTAATAATAATATCAACTCAAATTAAATTTAAAAACCCCATCATCTTCATCTTTCAGGGTCATTTAATTTCACCGAAATTCACAATGAACTTTCAATTAAATCTCTATAAAAGTTAAATGGTAAGATAATCTCTTTGATTACAAAAGTTCTGACACAGTTCTTATCTTATTACAGACGTTACGACAGTCAATTCCTTGATCCAATTTCGGATTCTCCTATCTCGATTACAGTATTACCGTGCACTTACGAAATTCGCCGTCGTGTGCATTTACATAAATAAATTACTTCAATGTACAATTATATTAGTATAATATCAAATTAAGGTAAGATTTCTTTAAAATTTGTCGTCAATTATCAAAATGGAACGAAAAGTAACTTACATGATAGCTCGTTTACTACTTTTGAGTGTCAACATTCTTTGGACTTGGATTTGATTTCCGGAATAAGCGCCGATTGTAATCACTAAACCAAGCAAGACCACGCTAACCATGGTATAATGAGCCTCAGGATCGAAAGAAAATCTAGGGGGAAAAGCATACGTATTTCACATTCGTCACTAAATACAAATATTAAAAAATAACCCTTTTGACTTTTAGGCATACCCTTTTACGTACTATAATAAACACTGATATGCAGATTGGCAGTGTATTCAGTTAGTATTTTTGTGTTCGAAGGTTTCTTGGGTTTAGAGTAACTTATTATTACACTTGATGAAGAATCAAAAAATAATTTATTCGCCAGTATTACAGAGGACATTTCCGAAGACAAGTTTTAAAGTCGTCGAAAAACTACGATAAACACGCTGAATCAGTCAGCAACATTATTCAAGCTATAACGGTAAAGACAGCTTCATGGTAAACCCCTAAAGTACAGCTCCCGACTCGGTCGTTCGCTCTCAAGCTAATCTCTGAACTCAAGACAGTACTACTCCGCGTACAGAGAAGATATATATAACTTTAACCTACCTCCGAGAATATTTCCGAGAAAACCGCTAAGAATGCGTTCTAGAATGTTCTCGCTCTGCCTATGGCATATCTCCAATTTTGACGCCAAATATCTCCAAATATGGCAACCCTGTCTTTTCTTGCCACTTTCTGGCAACCCTAACCCCGCTTTGCGAGAAAGCTATCTCACCATAGCTGGACATTTCGCAATAGTATTTGTACTGAACTTGAATTACCAAGTTCAGTCAAACATTGTACGTACAGTTTATTACAACTTCAGTGCATAAAGGATTAAATATTTTTAACTTCTTCATTTGTCAATGGAAAGTTACAATTTGAAAGTTGAAGAACACAAACTGTTTTCTTTTCGCTTTTATACTCTGAAGCAATAAATTATTATATACATCTTAGTAAAATTATACGAAACAGTAGTAACGCAGAATGGCACAATATCTGGAAATTGATGGCTGGGGTCACAGAATCGGCCTATACCCATTGGAAAACAGATAGTGGAATGTAAAGCGTACTTTAAGCTACAGACATTACTGAGTTCGATCGAAATAAAATCATTAATAGCAATAAATTTGGAATTTAAACTACCCCAAAGATAAAAGTTCTAGGGATTCCGCGTTTCCATCAAAGCAGCAAATACGTATGCCGATTGTATCTGTAAATGTGCAGTGAATGCTTGAGATCAGCGGAGATTGACCTAAGAGTTTAATGTCAAAGGTGCCGAAGAATCTCACGCGTTTCTTAGTCAGATTAGGTACGTTTATGAAAAGATTTTCCCTTTTATTGTATTAAAAACATGTGGAATGGAAGTAACCAATAACGGTCTAACTATTATTCCTTGTAATTAGTACACTTAATAAGGAATACTTTTTTCTCACACAAGAATGTTTTTTATTCTACATTGTTGCTGCAGTAATGTTTTTCAAAGTAATCAGTACTATCTACAATGTGTTTAGTAAACTTTACTTCCAGTTGTCAAATACGTGCAATATGCCATTTTTTGTAATATCTTCTCCTAAGATCTTTTTCTTCTCACATCTGTAGTATCCTAAGAAGACCTCTGCGTATTACATTAGAATTGACTTCAATATCAGAATTGTGCACACAAAAACAGAAAAAAATGTCTGCCTTTTACAATGGAAATCAATTTTATATGTTGGAGCATCTGTCTTTGGTGGATCAGGAATATAATTTGCGGCCAGATGTTGCGCCACAATGTGTGGTACAAAGGCATAGATAAAAAGATAACCCGAAATGCAGTTTCGGATGTTTACATCCAGTATGATTTTGGAGTTTCGTGAACACTCACAATTAGCACTGCTCGGAGGAACCCACATTTGGTACTACATAGCTCATTCCTTCTGGTTTCATTTTCTGCAAAGAAAACTATGTTTGGTGGTAAATCCAATAAGTAATAATTATTAAAAGAATTACCTTGAATACGGACTGAATTATAGATTTATAGCTACCTGAAAACACTTAGACACAAATAAATAAGGACACAAAATAAATAAGATTTAGACTTCATGTGCAATACAAGAATTTTTTACGTTTTTATGGAATACAGAATTCATGCGTAGTTTGGTTGTTTACATCTGTCGCCATAGAAAAAGAAAACAAAATAAAAAATACATAAGCAGAAATACATCTGGCGCGAGCAAAGCGCAACCTATACAGAAGGATAAAATACTTAGCATTCCTTAACCAACCAAATGCTGTGTATGATGCATTCCATCATCTCCATTATGCTTTCTGGATTCGTTTGCACATGTTTCTGTCTTTGCTTTAAAAATGGAATGGATATGCTTTATGTTTATTTTTAAAGTATGGCATCATTAACTGATAAATAACTGATATTTAATTTCATTAATGTAATGAATACTACTATAATTAATAAATTTATTTTCATCAATGCAATAAAATATATCTGACAGCTATTAACTAGTAATCTTGTGACAAAAGTAAAGAAAGTGTGCTTATGTATGCACAGATTTAATCCTTTACATTAAATCATATTTAAATGCTGAGACGTATTCTTCACAGCATTCACAGTATATATAGGTATGATAAATATTCATCCTAGTGACCACTACTGTATCTATTCCAATGTCGTTTATTGTTATCGTTATGCTTCATCATAATACCTCTTCTAAACTAAATAATCTAAAGAGCATGCTCCTTAGAATACTTCATGTTCAAAATTCATGCATGAACCTTACAAACATCAAAAGACATTTGATATCCAAATAACAATTATTTTAAAAATCTACTGGCAATTTATTTTCTATTCATGCCAGTGAAGATTTTATTCATGCCATTTGTAGTTATTTGATTATTTATATATGTCAAAATTAGAGCATTAATCCAAAATTTTTACAAGAAACTGAACAATGATATTATAAATTAAACAATAGTACTATTAATTACTCATATTACTATTTGTTACTTACTTTTTAATTATTTATTTAAATGCATATAATAAAAGTAATGTCATCCAACAGTAATGTAATATACAATTGACTGAGAAATAGAATATACTCGTAATACCGAATTTAAATTTTTAAATAAAAGGCAAAATTCACCGTATCCTGAAATTATTTGCAGTTTTACCAATTCAAATGAACAAAGTTAATTTGAGCAACAAAAATATGTATTCAGTTGATCGAATGATAAAATTATCAAAGTAACTGATAGTTTTAGAGACAATAGATCTGCAGTTTTTACAATTAGTAAGCGCAACATAAGATCTGTGAGATAATATATCGGATTCAATTGGACAAGATAAAAAACAGTCTACAAATCTCCGTAAGCTTTTACAGTCATTTACCTCGCCTTTTAGGTTTATATATTAGTAAGATATCATTAACTTACTTCAAGGTAATACTTGTAATTGGTGACATTTATTTTCGTTAGTAGAATAAAATATTGTTTTTCAAAGAGGGTGAATATATAGAGTACCTTGGTACAACAAGCCTGCCCCCTTCCTGAGCAATACGAAATACTTCTTTGATGCCTCCCAAATCCACACAGCCCTTGATAGAGATTGTAAGGAGGCAAGTATACATAAGAATTGTTTGGATAACATCTGTCCATAAAACAGCTTTCATGCCACCCTGAAACGAAAAAACCTCTATTTTAGAAAAGAAGCTAAATAACAGCAGAAGTTACAGAACATAAAATGTTACTTACCAATGTGCAATAAAATGTACAAACGATTCCAATTGAAATGACAGATATCATAAGGGATAGGTTAGTGATGGCACTCAGTGCTAAGGCAGGCGCATACAATGTTATTGAAGTGAAGAGTACCTTCAAATTAAAAGCAAATGTTATTGTGATGATAGTCAAGTAAAACAAAAGACGCAAATAATAAGAATAAATAATTGTGTAGGATTGTAATCAACAAAGGCAAATAACAATTAACTATTTTAATTATATATGTGGTATCCTTAACTGAGTACACACCTAACTGCTATTAAAAAATAACGTCCCAAAGTGATACAGAAAAACTGAACTACCAAGCCAGTCATGTCAAATTTTGTCAATTAATTTTTAATTAATAAATCATAAATATTTTTGATTATAGGCAATTTATACTTTCATAACACAGAAATATTAATCCATTCACTGGCGTCCGACAGGGAAGGCCGTAGAACTAATCATTATACTTGGGTGCAAGAGACACTTGGACCCTGGGTGACAGCCGCAATGAAAGTGCTGGGTACAGGGGAACGCGAAAACAGAACAGCTCGATAAAAAAACAAAACGGTTTGTAAAGAAAATGGAGTGTATAGAAGGATTGAATGGACAAGGATCGATCCTGAACTTGGAATTAACAGCACTGTATACTTCCTCAAAACAAACAGAGCCTTCTCGCCGTCGGTAGACTAGTTCATTTTCAGTTCTTACAGTGTTATACATTGACTTGCATGTGACAATTGAATTCTGAGCAGTGAATGTAGTTTAAATTCGCTGCTTTACAGCAATGGTATAGATTAGACTCTTTGAATTAAATTAAGTTATATCTTGCGTAATATTGTCAATTAATTTTAATTCATAAATTCATAAATATTTTTATTACAGGTTAATGATGAGAAATCTGATGGCACTTAAGGACGGTGCATAAGAGAAAAAATTATTGCATTAAATTTGAGAAGTCCTTTTAAAATATTGTGAACTTAAATGACTTTAAAACAAATATGTTTGCAATGATCAATACCTGTATTTTATATTTTCATAAAAGTAATACTTTGAAGCAAAGAGCTTTTCAATCCCGCGTCTACACGATTCCCTCCCCTTTTTTTTACACGATTGTTTCAACTCTTCAATAATAGAGCTATTTTTGCTGAGGAATGTCCTTTTTTTCCATTGCACCCTTTCAAAAATGTTAGCTACGCTTCTTTAAAGCTTATGGCGTATTGAAAGTATTCAGTGCCAAGCAATATCACAGTTTAGTGTTCCTCTTCAAAAAGGCTGAGAAACAAACTTCAAAAAGGCTGAGAACAAATCTCGTAGAGAAAACAATGTAAGAATTAAATAACCTCATCATGGCAGAAAAAAAAGCTAGGAAAAAACTTCGAATTTGTGAAACAAAACGTCGTCATAAAGTGATGATAAAATTTCTTAGTTTCAATACATCATCGGACTAAATATCGAGGTAAAATAAATGCAAGCACCTACAAAATATCGAGTGACAATAACTTGCAAAAATATGGGTTTTATGCATTTAGGATTCTCAGAACTCTACAAAATATATTTTGCAAGTGCATTTTTATTTTACGTACAAGGAAACTTCTTTAAAACGATCACTTAAGGTTCTAAATTATTTAGAGGTGATCATCTTAATACAGTTTTATTTAATAAAGATATTAATTCATTTTTTCAAAAATCTAGTTATTTTTAGCATTGATCGTCTTGCAGAGATGGTCTTTAAGAGAGATTCCACTGCAGTTTAATTGGCAGAGAAAATATAAAAAACAATTTTTTAATTTGCTGAATGTTATATATTGTTTAATGGGAAATTTGAAATCACTTATCTTTTGATTCCCTGTTTGGTTTGTACTGTACATCAGTAGTTTTAATTCACAATTTTCACATTTTTAAGCAATTATGTAACAGATTTATGAATTTCCGAGATATTTCTGTAGTCAGATGCTTTGTAGGTGCTTTATTTTCTACCATGATGCTTTCAAATTGCGAAATTTGTGCGCCACTTTATTTTCTATGATGATGTTCTAGAAACTACGTTGTTTCTTTTTATTCTCCTCTACCAGGATGCTTCGAAGACGATATTTTCCTCTTGCGTTGTTCTCTGGGCGATGTTTTTGGCGGACATCATCTATATATAGATATATATCTACAGAATAAAATAGCTTTTATTTAATATTATTTAGAATCCTCAAATATATTCTCTCCGCTTATTTCATAGAGAATTATAGCATCTTCCTGTGCGTACTATCGTGGTATAAGTGTTAACACACACATCTGGCAACTGGAAGTCTGTGGATCGAATTCTACAGAGGGCATAAAGTCGATTTTTCACGTTTATAACTCCAAAAAGGCCTAATGATTCTACAATAAACATGAACTAATTATATGTGGTGGACGTAAATTTGTAACACCTGATTTTTTTCCATTGGGCTCCATGACTTTTCTCTGTCACATTTTAATTTAGGAAATATGAAAGGAATTATCGCATTCTTTCACTCGTCTCATTAATTAAGTTACTAATTAATTAAGTGGTAGCATGTCTAGTTGGTAATCGGAAAATTCTTGTTTCGAGTCACGGGGAGGCCATAGGTGAGTCTTCCATTTAAAGCTTCGAAAAACCTAACGTCTCCATAATTTCTCTTGTTACACCTCATGTGCGATGCAGTGCCAGGCGCTGTATGGTTCAGATTCGCTCATTATATAACAATTGCATTTATGCAAATTTATCATATTAATTTTAAACCTATTAAACTGTAGCTGTATTTATTGATAACTTTAGAATACTTACGCTCTGAAATATAAATAAAGCAGATAGAATTCTTCTCGTTGTTGTTCCAAACCGTTTTTCCAAATACTGTACAAAGTAAATAAATGAAATAACATGAAATAATGATGATAGTAATACATAGAACTATAAAACAATAAAAAATAAATTGAAATAAGCGTAAGAAAAACAACAATAAATATAAAGCATTTGATTGTGCACGCTGCAGACGATAACACAAAAATCTTATAAATGTGACAATAGAAAATCTGGTATGTACACCCCATGACTTTTTTTGTACGGAATATAAAATTATGCAATCTTTTGCTGCATTTCATTTAAACTCATTTTCTCGAATTTCATTAAAGATATATTTCTTATTCCATTAATTCAGTTCTCGATTCGCGAAAAGGCAAAAATACAAAATCCTCAAAATATCTTTATTAAAAATTGAAAAATATAGAACACCAAATATAGTGAAAACAATTAAAACACAAATTTTGCAATTAAAATTAAAGTTTCTACGCAAAAACAAGCAATTCGGCCAGTGGGCAAGTAGGCAGATTTTTCGGTGCACAAAACTGAAAGCTTACTTTTGGTTCCATCCGGCAAAAAAGACAAACTGTAATTCACTATTCTGCTAAGTTTCAAATGCAAACAAATATGGCTGCTATGGTTAAAAAATTAAGCTTATCCCCACTTAAACAACTTTTAAACTGTTGATATTTATATATTTTTGGTACGGCCGATTGCAACTAAAAAGGAAAGTGCATAAGTACGTGATATAGCAATCCTATATACGAAATTTCAATGTTCTGAGGCTACTCGTTTTTGAGTTATGTGAGATACATGAATACTTACGCACACACATTAAGAAAAATACACTCACGTTTGTGAAAATTGCAACACCATGAAGGACTTACGCGAGTGAGCTGAAATTTTCAGGAAATGCAAAGTAGCGCATGATATGCAAATGATTAGAATTGCAAATCCGTAGCGCATGCGTATGCTGAGCAGCGCCCTCTGAACGGCTGATGGATCCGAATAAATAGACGGCTGTAGCGAGGCGTGTATGGTTATCGGTGGTTATCTGCTAGTGGTAAACGTTAACTCAATCTGTACTTATGCCTCGTCGACGAAAGAGAGCGAGATTTGAACAACTTACAGAGTTTGAACGAGGGAGAATCATCGGCCTTCGTGTGAAGCTGGATTGTCGTATCGTGCAGTAGTAGCCTCTCGTGTGCAGCGTAACAGCAGCACAGTGATGCGCGTTTGGAAGCAGTGGACGGACGAGTGTCGGACAACTCGGAAATCCGGGAGTGGACCCCGAAATGTGACGTCAGCTCGCGATGATAGACACCTGGTCCGCATGGCGCGGACGGACCGTACAGCTTCCTCTAGACAATTGGCAGCACTGTGGTCAATAGCTACAGGTGTTTCATTGTGTGCTTCATCAATTCGTAGACGTCTGCTGCAGTGTGGACTGCGCGCACGGACTCCTTTATACAGGATCCCCTAACGCACGACCATCGCCGCCTGCGGCTACAATGGGCCAATCAGCATAGAGACTGGCGTGCTGATTGGCAGCATGTCGTGTTTTCTGACGAATCCCGCTTTAATTTGTGGTACCATGATGGCCGCATTCGTGTCAGACGCTATGCCGGTGAACGCCACCTTCCGGAGTGCATTATCGAACGCCACAGTGGACGAACACCCGGAGTTATGATCTGGGGGCGCCATAGCATATCATAGACGATCTCAATTGCTACGAATTGTGGGCAATCTGAACAGCAACCGGTATATCCGTGAAGTTCTACAGCCCGAAGCTGTTTCCCTTCCTTCAAAGCTTGCCAGGCGCTGTATTTCAACAGGACAATGCCCGCCCTCATACTGCTCGGATTGTTAAATCCTTCTTTGCAGCGCAGCAGGTACAGCTTCTTCCTTGGCCTGCGTGTTCCCCGGATATGTCGCCAATTGAACATGTGTGGGATGTCATTGGTCGGCGTCTTGCTCGTGATCCTCGTCCTGTTGCGTCTGCAGACGAACTTTGGGTACGCGTACAAACGATATGGAATGCTCTTCCTCAGTCAGACATTCAAACTTTGTTTGACTCCATGCCACGTCGTGTAGCAGCACTTATTGCGGCGCGTGGTGGCCACACAAAATATTGATTCTGATCTCTTGTTCTTGTTTGTTTGCTTTGAACATTTAATCATTTATTTGTACCACTACCACTCAACTGTGTATTAAATTGCATTCAATTATGACGATTCCTTCTTGGTGTTGCAATTTTCACAAACGTGAGTGTATCTTCTGAATGCATTTTAAATCCTTTTTGCAACCTGGAAAAAGTCCTTTGTTCTGTCCACACGCAAAAATGTAATTAGACACAGATGTACAGATGTCAGGCAAAAACATCGTTAAACTGCATTCGATAGCGGTCAAAATGGATATTTTCGTTGAAATATGGTACCCAAAAGTTTTCGCGATTACAATACTTCCTTTGATTTGTACAAAGAAGTGAAAATGACATCTCTACATATAATAAAAGAAAGAGTCTGTCTACTATGTGCGTGTTTTTCGTTCGTGCTGCGCGTAAGCTAATATAACCAGGGCTACGAAATTTGGTACATAAGGTGCATCTAGACTAGAGCCAGTGCACCTCGAGGAGATTTTTTCAAAATTCGAATCATACTTTTTTATTTTATCTTTTTTGATGAAATCGCATCATTTTGAATAGTTTCATTCTTTTAGAAATGTTGGTTTCTGGCAAACAGCTTCTTCATTTCGATGATTTGTGTACTGGACTGCTGACTGTTGAAAATTGCTGACTGGTTTAAAATATGAGATAAAATATTTCTTGCTTACTTCACTGTTTTTAAGATACTTAAACGTAAGCATGATTTTTTTTTTTTTTTTTTTTTTTTTTTTGCGACGGGAAATTGGTTAATTTTATTTATTAGGATAATTAATATTTGATTAAAGGATATTGCTTATTTTATTTTATTTTATTTTTAATATGCGATACATTTTTATTGATTCTTTTGATAAAATTTTTCCGCGGAGTAAAATTCTGTGCAAGTTTTAAATTTAATGTTTGGTGTTTCCTTAAGGCATTTTTACTGTACATTTAAAAGCCAGACGAAGGCTAGCCGCGTAGCGGCTAGTATCAAATATAGCATTGATTTGCTTTTCTCTAACACTTATAGTGTAAAACTGATTTTAGAAAAAATATAATTAATTTTTATACGATATGAATGTTAGCCAACATTACTGATACATTATAGTCTTAAAAGAATTACCACTCTAGGTGCTTAATATATCTTCTCAGGTACTGAAAAGATTCTGAATTTATTCTGTAAGCCATTGTTTCTCAGATATTAGCAATTAATAAAGATAATTTATTAGAAAGCTATATTTTAACATAAGTAACTAGCTTTTAGTACATCTAATTGTTTAGAGCTTATTTGGCATAGTAAATTCAGATTTGTTTTTATTGGTTTTTCATTTTGTTCGTAGCACAGGAATATACATCTATCAGTATAAAGTTAAGGGTGTAGCATAGATTTTTTTTAAAAAAGTTTACTGATTTGTTGTGGAAACCATATTAGTCCTTCTTATTTACTTCTTGTTTTCTGGTTGAAGAATTTTTGTATCTATTGAGTATTTCTAAATTCTGCTTGCATATATGAATTACCGGGATTTCATTTTTTAAAAGGATCTTAGCTTTTTTAAACATTGACTAAAACCCGATTTTTACTTCTTTGTGCAAAGTAAAAGAAGTATTGTAATCATGAAAAATTTCAGGTATTATATTCCAACGAAATTATCCATTTTGACCACTGTCGAATGCAATTTAACGATGTTTTTGTATAATATCTGTACGTAAGGACAGAATAAAGGACTTTTTCCAAAAATAGATTATAAAATGGATTTAAAATAGATTCCAATCATATTTTTTCGTGTTGTTTGCACATAAGTATGTATGTATCTATCTCGCATAACTCAAAAAAGAGTAGCCTCGGAACTTGAAATTTTATATATAGCATATTATATATTTTACATATAATTTTATTTATGCTATAACATGCAGTTGTGACCTCCCTTTTTGGTTTAAATCAGCCGCACCAAGAATATATAAATATAGATATATACCCCCTCTGTTACTCGGCTTGGTGAACTCAGTTTTTTTTTATTCTTATATGTTGCCAAATTGTGCATTTTGTGCTTTAAAAGTGATTGAATTATGTTATTTTTATGTTCCGTTAATTATGTTATTTTAGCTGCATGGATAAGGTTTTTCTGCCTTTAGTTATTTTGCATGCAATAGTTGTAAAATTGTCAACAAATTAAAAGTTGTTTAAGTGCGACTAAGCCTAATAGAGAAGCCATTTGTTTACATTTGAAACTTACCAGAATAGTGAATTCAGTCAGTCTCCGCGCCTTCAGTGTCTTTTTGCTGAGTCGGAACAAAAGTAAACTGTCAGTTTTTTGCACCAAAAAATTAGCCTTCTTGCCCGCTGGTCGGATTGCTTATTTTTGCACAAAAAGTCTAATTTTAATTGTTAAAGAAAGTTCAAGTTCTCTTGCGTCTTGTTTTAACTGTAGTTGGTGTTTTATGTTTTTACGTATTTTTCAATTTTTCAATTTTTAGTGAAGATTTTTTAGTTTTTATGTATTTTTTGCCTTGCTGAGAAGTGATAACTGAAGTAATTGAATGAGAAATTCAATAAATCTCTACAGAAATTCGAGGTTTAAATAAGTTTAAATGAAATGTAGCAAGAAAAAGTGTACAATTTAATAGCCCGTAGAAAGAAGTTATGTGGCGTCCACATGAGATGTTTTAACTTGTAACTGAATTTGCATTCTTTTCTTAAATTACATGCTTAATTTAATCCTAAACATTCGGCTAAATTCATTTGCAAAATAAAATCGGAAGTTAAAGACTGGAGTTTATCGTGATAACAACCTGAAATATGTTTTTTTTAATTTTTTTATTATTATTGTTAGCCATACGAAACATTTTTATCGCAAGCTACACGAAACATTTTATCATAATCCATGAGAAATACTTTAGCATGCGTTTTTTTCTCTACTAATTAAGTGTAATTCTTACTCTTTTTATTACATCCGATGTTCTACATTAATACGTTTTCCTTAGCTTATAGAGCCCACCAGCGGCCGAGCGGTAAAGACGCTGAACACTGGTAGTTCGGTTCGAGGTTCGAATCCCGCGAACGGGCTGGCTGCATGGGCGTTTTCGTGGTTTTCCCCATGTGTAACGTGTATACGAGCCAGTTCCCCTTAGAAAGTCCTCCACGAAAGGCATCCCTCCCCTTAGGCAGATAGCCCTAGTGTGCTTTGCCATAATTAAATACACCACCACACCTTAGCTTATAGTATAAAATATTCGTTGGTTCTGTAAATAATGTTACTAATTGGCTGTAGGGCAAATACTGAAGCTTAGGGCCATTTTTTCAAAGACGAATTCTATAAATTCTGTCAATAAGTTCTCTTTTCTAAAACAATTAGCCCTGATAAATACTTTTCACGACAGTCCGCATATAAATACTCATCATTTAATCTAGTATCACTAGAAACCTTTTTCCAAGCTGATATATTTCGTTTTTATTACGTACAAACGCAAACAGTTAAATTTGCAATTTATGTACAGCCCTTGAGTGCGATCTTGAGTTTTAAAATTAAATACCTCAGTCAATTTTTATCTCAAAAAATATATAAATATTTTGATTTATTCTTTTGACTTACTTAATCATGATTTTTTTTTGGCTTCAAAGTTCTAATCATTTCTATACCTTTTTAAATGATACGTAAATAACGAGTTTCGAGACAGTGACTCATTATTTATGGGCACATATATTTTTTTGAATATATATTATTCTAAATTATCATCGTTAACATGTTAGCTGCATGAGCTTTTCGTTTGTTTTTTCCATGTGTTACGTAGATATATGCCAGTTTTCCAAAGATTTTTTTATATTTAGAGATGGCATTCTTCTTAGCCCTAGTCTGTTTTACCATAATCACATGATTAATTTAAAGATATTCTTTTTTGAACGAAGTATCCGTTCATAGCTTTAGAACCTGCAACATCTTATCAAGAAATTCCATAAATCTGCATAAAATCTGAGCAGTTTCTTCCGTTTCTTTTAGAACTGCATTTTCCTTATAGAAGCCTAGCTGCATGGTGTGTGTTCGTGTTTTTCCCGACAGGTCACGTGGATACGAGACAGTCTCCTTCAAAAAATACACCACAAAGGCATTCCTTTTCTTAAGCAGATAGCTCTCGTGGTTTTGCATATTTAGGCAACCTAATTGAAACTAACCTTACAGAAGCACTTTTGATATCTTCATGACCTGAAACCATATTTTCCTCCCAAATCCCTGCCATGATGTCCGTATAAACAGAATTATCAAAATCTAACTTTTCTCTTCAACTGAGACAATTTCATTGAAACTGATTTCCTAATAAAGGTTTTAATTTTATATTTACTAAAAACACTTTTCTTTCTCATTTTGCATTTACTATTACGATCTGTAGTTCGGTAAAAGTAAACGGAAATCAGGATTAATATTTTTATTAATCATATCACAAAAGAACATTGACAAATAAAATCAGTTTTTTATAGCAGAAATAACACCATATTTTTTGCTGTGTACTCATTATTGAAGTAAAGAACCCAACTAAAAAAATTAAGACTTTCCCATTACCATTTTATATTTATCCTGGGGTAAAAAAAGATAAGTCAATTTTTTTTAAATTTTTCTAATATCCGGATGGGATGAGATTTTAGTTAGTCCGTAGTTTAAGTTTTAAATCCTTGCGGATAGAGGGACCTATAAGCTGTTTAGTGGTAAAACTACTGAATGCTGTTAGTTCACCTTGAATTCAAATGCCGGGGAACGGGAGAAGCACATGGAAGCTTTCGTGCCTTTTTCCCATGTGTAACGTGAATACAAGCCAGTTTCGTTCAAAATCTCCTTTATGAAGTCATCATCCCTATCCATAGACAGATAATTCCTGAGCACTTTTCCCTGATCTAAATAATTTAGTACAATTCACTGTCAGCTTGTCTATTGTGTGGCAGATTGCCCGTTGTTGTGAGTGCTTGCTGTTAAATTCATAAAACCCAAGAAAAGTTATAATCAAATTAGACTGACTTGAAGTTTATTAAAATTTTTAGTTTATTTAATATGCATATTTTGTAATAATTATCACCACAATTATCAATACATCATTAATTTAAATATTATTTTAATTAAATAAAAAATACCTCATATGCTGTCGAAATACCAGTATTGAAAAATATTGGAATGAATAGAAAAGCAGCAATCACTGGTCCAAGAGAAAATCCAATATTCATAAATGCCATGTTGGTGCCATAATCATACATTTCTGTTGGAATTCCCACAAGAGTCGTCGCTGAGAAAAAAGTAGCCATCAGCGAAAAAGCAACGGGAAGTATTGACATGTCTTTGCCAGCCAGTAGATATTCATCATTGGTTTTCTGTTTGTTTCCCGAGAATCGAAAATAGAGACCTAAGGCTGCAGATACTGACAGTGTGATTGCTAAAATAGTGTGATCTGCAGCACAAAGGCTTAATTTTTCTGATGTCATTGTGATAGCTGATTAATCTAAAAAAGAGCAAGATAATAATAAAAGTACAATTTAAAAATATTAACGCCTTAATTAGCACATAATTCTAATTTTAATAAAAAGTGTGATTTTCCTTTAGAAGACTTCTACAAATCTATTAAATCAATGTTCTGTTTATAATATTTTGATAAAAACAGTCCAGAAGTTTTGAAACCTCATAATAAATCGAAAATTCTTTGGACCTGTGTATAATACTAATGATTCGCTTTTCTTAACCATTGTTGTTTTCAGAAATGCATACTAAAAAATTTGAAGGTTTGAATTTTGTAATTATCAAACTTCTGAAAAAACTTTCTGTTTTATAGAGAATAATACTGATCATAAATGCAATAATTAAAATAATTTCTTCGAATGCGTTTTAAAAAATAATTTTAAACCTTTTTGCTATTTATTGTAAATATGCTTTTCATTCAGACATGGTTTCGTATGTAAAAAAATTGCAAATATTTAAAATTTTTATCATCTTATCGCATCAACGATCATTTTTACAAAATGAATTTTATGATATCCAATAAAATGGTCCATAATCTTTGAATGAATGATAACAATAATAAAATTATTCATTGATAACTATCAAGCTTTTATTAATCAGTCCTTTACATACTAAATGAAGGATTCCACGATGTTCATTAAATGCTTGTTATAAAATCGCTAAAACATTCTCTCGAAAGAATTTATTATTTCGATTTCAGTAAAGAGACGTTTTGACTGCTAAATCAGCTTTAAGCTTAAACAATTACGGAATTCCAAAATGGCAGATTTTCTTAAAAGTAAAATTATTATTATTGATTCTTAATGATAAAATTATTCTTTAGAAAAAAGTCAAAGTATTATTTTGTGTTGTTATACTCGCTTTGTTTTTAGCTTTTAATAAGCCACAGTTATTTTTTAGCTCTTAAAATATGCATCAGTTTTATAAAACAGCAGAACTCTTCTTAAAAATTAGAAAAATAAGAACATCAAACATGTAGATTTGAATGAATGACACCCCCCTTCAATCAAAAATTATAAAATTTTTTATTACAAAGAGGAGAAATCTTATATGAATCTCGAAACATTCAAATCTTTCACGCAAAAATATTTTAATAAAAGAAAAAAAATCTTTTATTTAACACTGAAAGTTTTAAATTGAAAAAAAATTTGAAATATGCCTTTAATCAAAAAATAAGGGTACAGTTTTTAAAAACATGTCTACATAAAAGATAAAAATTAAATTTACTAAATGGAATAGATAAGTAACCACTAGAATTTTCATGAGGCACATTTTTTCAATATAATTTTACAAAAATATTTGAGTAACAGTACATTTTCCAGAATCTTCTTAAATCATTTACATTTGTAGGTATTAAACATAGAATGCTAAACTCTCTCGTTACTTAAAAATAAGGTAATATTAAACTTTATACTAGGGCAGTCCCTTATACTGCCCGCAGTCACTTATACTGCCCGCAGTCACTTATACTGCTCGCAGTCCCTTATAGTGCATACTATCATTTTCCGAAACTTGCCCGCACAGATAAATGCAGGATCTTACGTAGGCTTCCGTTAAGTCAACACATTTTAGACTTACAGTTCTATGTTTCTTTTTAGTATTCATGAAGCTTCAGCATAACATCAAGATGACAGTCACATTTTCATACATTCTTTCGTGATCCTCGATGTAGAGAAACAAATGAGCAGCTATTCTCCCCTCCCCCCAAAAAAACTGATTTAGTAAATGAAACGGTTTCCAGACACCACAACATTTTTCTTATTTACAATGTTTTAGTTAAACAACGATGTGGCTATCAAATGTATCAGAATACCCACGAGCTAAGGATTTTTTTCAAGTGCTTAAATCACTTTCCGGCATTCAGTTTTATCTTACTTTCCAAAATGACTAAAAAATATGAAATTCGGTCGCGGAATGAAACTGATCAAAAGTACCCTGAGTCCGAAGGGGGATTCCAGATACAGCCGGACATTAAAAAATCTTCAGTTAATCCTTAAACAGCTCTACTCCCTGTCCAAATAAAACGAAATCCTCTCCTCTCTCATTGTAATACTTTTCAAAGCCTTAGTTTTACATCAAGAAACACCTACAAATGAACCATTGGCTCAGTTAAATTAAAATTTAGCCTTGTTATGCAAGCTTCCTGAACCAACTGAAGCAAAGTAATAAATTACATATGATAGTTTTGGCAAAAGAAATCTAACCCACCAAAAAGTGCCAAATTCGTTTTGCACGCAAAAATTTTAAAGAATGTTTCTACAGTATTTTTGTCGCAGCTGTCTCATAGGAAATAATAAGCTGCTTGATAGGAAATGAAACGTTTGAATTTAAGCGCAAAATTTCCAAAATCTTCCCTTGATACAAAATCCTAGTTTAGCGTTGAAATTGAGTGGCTAATTCAGAACTATCTAATTCAGATCTATGACTTAACGTCTTTACATCTCCTTAGCCCGCATTCTGTGCTCTTAATGAGAAATACAAACCAAAAAGGCAAGTTCTATATAAGCTTGCAACTGTACATTTTGTTTATAAATTAGCTTTTATTAATTTCCTTAAATTAATTAAAATTGCGCTGAAATTTTAGGAAATTTAACTCTTTTAGAGAAAACTGTGATAAATAATAAACTATCTAATTGCTTTCGAATTTATACACAGCAATGGACGTTTCTATGGGTGTCCAAACATAGCTTAAATTTTGAATTAAAACATATAAAGATATTTTAGTTTAGAATTCGCAAATCTGAAGGAAAATCGTTCAGTGTCCAGAAAATTTGAATTTTCCTCGAGATTAGTGGGATTAGAGGTATCGAATGCTCTCTTAATTTTTGTTTTTCAGATTTTCAGAATCTCTTAATTTTTGTTTTTCAGAGTTTCAGAATCTTTTAATTTTTGTTTTTCAGATAAAAAGAACTTTTATAATAGTCCCAAAACTATTTGATATTTCAAAAATATACTTTTTTGAATAATTATTTTACAATAAATTTCAGTTAAATAATGTGCACTGTAACATGATATTGAATTGCTACTATGTTTGCTACTTCTACCAACATGGATTCAGCTGGGATCTCAGATTTATGTCAACGTAGTTTGGAAGCTTCACTAAGCAAAGATGTAATTTTATCTGATTTTTAATACTCTTTAATTAGATGCAAGAAAAATTGGAAAACTAAGATGAATGAAAATAAATATAGGAAAACAACTGAAAGAATATTTCGCATATATATCATAAACACTGAGCAGGATTACACAGTACTATAAGTAAATCTATTAGCTAATAAACATATTTCATTAGGATTACGAAAAGGTTTCGAAGCCACACAAAAAAGTCTACGTTAATTTGAGAATATCTGATGTTAATGAAGCAGATTTATCTTATATTAAAAAAGAGGCTTTTTAAAAGTTGTCTCAACTGAAAATCATGTAAGAGATTTAAAAAGCTTTAAAAATTATCAAGATTCAGAAAGGAAGCTTCAAAAAAGATCTATTCCCAGAACTTAATTTCTAAAATTAGAAGCTCTGGAGCACAATGGAAGACCTTCAGGATAGACGATAGACAGATGAATAAAATAACGTAATAGTTAATAATTAAAATAGTAAACAACAAAGGAATAACATAAGCAAAAAATAAAATTTCAATAAAATATAAAAAACGTTTAATGAACTAAATTAAACTAACGATAAATAGTTTAAAAAATGAGATATAGTATCGAGTCTTATTTGGCGCTTCAACTGAAATTGCAGTTTGGTTCATAAACTACGAAACAGTACAGCCGGGCTCAGCCCTAAATATACAATATTCATGGGTTCAATATACAATATACATAGTATTTAATAGGATCATAGAAACAAAAAATTATTCTTTTTCCTATTAAAAAAGAGTAAAATGTTTATGAGAGTCTAAAAATATTTGAACGAAGTGTAGGTAAGAAATTAAAAAGAGACCAATATTTTCCTACCTTTGACCCTCTGCCGATCAAGCAGAATGTGACAGGGGAAAGAATTTCTCCCGAATCTGAGGCCATTTTCTATCGCTATATTAGATTATATCATTCCAAGAGGTCAGCAGGTGTCTTCCTCAATGGGAAGTCATCAGCACTGGATGTATGGAATCGTTAAGCATTTCACTGCGCTAAGTTCACTGTTAATTGGAACACATTTAGGAAAATAATTAATATTCGTTCCTTAGTCTATTTTTAATCACTTCAAATACTCTCGGGAACTAAAATGAGTTCTCATTACGAACCATTCTTAGGCAAGGTCTCATCTCTGTCTTTTCTTTTAGTAAAAAGAACTGAAGCGCTATTATTCCTTCGAAAAATAATTATACTTGAAAAATCAATAAGAAACGATTCGGTCAGTATTCTGGCATCCTGCTTATTTTTAAATATACAGATAATAAAAGAAGGATCCTTCAATAGTTTTGCCATCAGTTAAAAATCTGTGCAAGGAAAGTAATTTTTCAGAACTACTGCTCCAAAAATATCTATTGAAAAACTAATTTTATACCAATAAATTTTGTAATATTTTCTCTTCTGGAGTGAGTTTTCCAACATCATACATTACTCAGAATGGATCAACAAGGCATTCTGCAATGGATAAGATTTTAATAATTTTTTCATCCTAGAAGTATTAAATATACTAATGTCTACGTTGCATGTGCAGTCCTAATACAAGCATGAAATGTTTAAAAGTTGATAGATGAAATTATTTTAATTTTCAATCTCTGATTCTTTGCTTTATTCTACAATTTAAGACAGAAACCATGTGATTATTGGTTCAGCATTTTATTATTTTATGTGTTTAATTAGCTCCTTCTTTATTCTATAAGTAGTTACAGATTTGTATACTAGTGAAATAAGACAAAGCTTATTTGCAATGATGAAAATTTCGAAATTTTTTAAAAATTATCCTTTGCAATGTTCTTTGCTTTGAAATGCAAGAACCTTTACTTTCAAAAGTAAAATAATTTGTAAAACGTATTAAGCTTTTAAATGCCTCCAAGATATATCATTATTTTAGCTAGCCTTGAGACCCTGAAAAGAAGAGCAGGAATTTTTGCCAGTCAACGCAGACTAACATGTTTCCTTTATCTTCCGCATCATAAAATAATTAGATAATCAGTATAAAAAATGAATCATTTAAAATGTAATTTTATACGTAAGAAGTACAGTTGGACTACGCTAATCCTATAATATATTTCTTTATATATTACTGTAAAAAATAAAGTACGTTTTTTAATGTCATGCACTGAGTCAGTTTCTAATTCCAGTCATTTCGTACATTGTCTTCATCCAAAATAAAATCTAATGGCAATGGTGAAATTTGCAGTAACTCATTGATTGCCATCTTCTGTATATACAAACATCATTTAGTCAAATGGTAATTTTCTTTTTGAAATAGTATCGTATTTTTTAATATTTTCTTTCTTATACTACTTTACGCTTAAAAAGCAAATGGAGAAAAGCGCCTAAACATTTAACATCGAAATTTCTTTATTTAAAATAGTTTTATTTTAAAATAGTGATTTAGTTTCTGCATTTGGAAACATTAAGTATTAACTTTAATGTTAAAATTTCTTTCATGTGCTGAACTGATGTTTTCAGAGAGTAAGTACATTTATTATTTTTTATGGTCTACAAAAATGAATGTAACAAGCATAATAATGCAAGCATGATGCAGAATATTATAATAAAAATTGTCATTACTTTAATTGTCATTGTCATTACTTTTTCTCTTGGAATGATATAATCAAATATAGCGATAAAAAATGTCACTTGTACAAAATCTTAAGCTTTTCTTAGTTCACAGATCAAGCCTCAGATTCGGGGAAAATTCTTTCCCTTGTCACATTCTGCTTGATCGGCAGAGGGTCAAGGTAGGAAAATATTGGTCTCTTTTTAATTTCTTACCTACACTTCGTTCAAATATTTTTAGACTCTCATAAATATTCTACTCTTTTTTAATGGGAAAAAGAATAACTTTTTTGTTTCTATGATCCTATGAAATACTATGAATATTTTATGTAACAAATATAGTATAATTAAACATCTCCAAGATTTCATAATAAGAACAGAAAAAGACAATTCCGAACCGAAAACAGATTATTTTATTAGAAATAGTCTATACTAAGTACCTATTAATGCATTATTTAATTTGCTGCAAAAGTTATAAACGAAAACATTCTAACAAAGATTAATTAAAATAGCACAAAAGGTTTGCGTTTCGAAAAGGTATCTATTAACGCATTATTTAATGTATTGCAAGCGTTATAAACGAAAAACATTCTAACAAGGATTAATTAAAAAAAGCACAAAAGGTTTAAGTTTCGAGAAAGTATCTATTAACACATTATTTAATGTGCTGCAAGCGTTATAAACTAAAAAATTCTAACAATGATGAGTTAAAAAAGCACAAAAGGTTTAAATTTCGAGAATGTACCTATTAGTACATTATTTAATGTGCTGCAAGAGTTATAAACGAAAACATTTTTAAAAGGATTCATTAAAAAAGCGCAAAACCTTAAGTTTCGAGAAAAGAGAAAACTTACGTTATATGTTTCAAATACTCCTAGTAAAAGGAATTCATTTTAAGTTCGAAGTTTCAGTCCACATCGGTATTTTAACTTACATCCAGCATGAAGAAATCAGGAAGCAAGTATTTAAAACAACATCACATTTGCTTCAAAACATTCTCCGATCGTACTTTTAATGTATAAGTAACTGTTTTAAGATACGAAGTCTGATGTCAATACATGCCCTCCATTTAAGAAACGTCATCATTTAAAAGTGCTATAGATACAGCTGACCTTTATCAGAAGCTAAATCTCAGATAAACTTTTCTGTTTTAAAAGATGAAGAAAGGAATTTTATGGCTCTTAACTGTCAGCAACTAATCTAGTTTTATTGATAAATTCACTAGATTATTTTATATTCTGTTGGTTAATGAATCCATCCTGTATCGTAAACATTAATGAAATCATTTTTATGTTTTCGCAGTTATTTTACCCGTTTTTATTTACGCATCTGCCTTGTTTGTCAGGAATACTTGGCACAAAACATTTCCTCAATATTTTTGTTAAATCTTCTATGAAATGAAAAGTATATTTTACTACTTGAGCAGCGGTTCTCAAACTTTTGACTAACACGTACCATCTGAACAAAAATTGAAAAACTTTAATAACACACCACTGCATTTTACAATGATTTTTTTTCAGTTCCTCATTAGAAATATTTAAAAAAATATATTTTTCCATTTGCAAAACTTATTGGCTATTTGTATTAAATACGCACACATAAAAAATTGGCTACCATTTTAATTATCGAAATTTAGCTATAATACTTTAATTCTAAAATTTAGTACGAAATTTCGGCCTGTTTAAGAGAGATCAATTTCTTTTTGTTTGGTCTCATTCCACCTAGTTTTAACCGTAAATTAGGATCAATCTTTAATTTGTTTATTTTTAAAATATAACGTCGAAGAAAATCCTTGTTTACAAAAATTTGCTTGTGCAAAAAGGCAATAAAAATTTAATAGCTTCATTTGAAATGCCTTTAAATCCTTTTTCCGGTTCAGCCAAAAGACAGTATGCTATTTTTGAAATCTTCAGTTATAGTTGGATCACAGGAAATTTCTATCAACTGTTCGTTTTCTTTAGGAGATAAAATTTCTGGTACATCTGAACAAAATGGATTTCTAATCCAATTTTATTTTTCATAACCCTCAGGAAAATACATGTTCAAATTATTTATCAATGAAAAAAAATTATTTTTGATATCATATGCTAATTCTTTTATTTTCAAATTACTTTTAGTTAGAAAGCTTTCTAAAAACGGTAAAAAGATTAAAATATTATTATCCAATTCTTCGATTATTAGCTCGAATTTTTTTATCATTGCATTTATCTGTAATGGTAAACAAATTAACACTTTGTCCTTGTAATCCTAAATCTAATTCATTTAATTTTCCAAAAATATCAGCCAATTACGGTAAACGCGCCAACCATAACTCACTAAATAAGCATTTTTGCAATTAATTTAAATTTTGAATCACAGAAGAAAATTTCTGATCGAAGTTCAAAAATACGATTTAAAACTTTGCCTCTGGATAACCCACTTTACTTCGGAATATAACAAATGCGTTTCATATTCACTGCCCATCTCTTTCCATAAAATCGTAATAACCTTGAATTTAAAACTCGGCTTTTAATAAAATTAACAATTTTCACATCTTAAACCGATTTTCAGGTTTTCGGGGATTGTTTTGGCTACTGAAGCTTCACGATGAATGGAGAAGTGAGTAAATTTAATTTCAGGTTCGATTTTCTTTATTTGAAATATAACACAGGAATGTTTTCCTGTTAAAGGCCAAGCTCCTTCATGCATACGGCAATGCATTTTTTCAAGGATTATCTTTCTCAGATATAAAATTGTCAATTTCTTGGAAAATTTCATTTGCAGTTGCTCTATCATGAAGAGATTCACAAAATAAATCTTCTTCGGCAATTCGTTTAGGTTCTTCAAAACGTATGTAAACTAATAATTCAACAAAGATCGTTATATGAATAGTTTCATCCAAATGCAATGCGAAATACTCGCTGTGTTTTATTTTTTGAATAAGGATCTCTTTTATGTAATTTGACATTTCGTGAATTCGTAGACTTACTGTAGCATTTGATAAAAAAATTATTATTAAGTTCATTAACCGCATTTTTGTTAATAATGTTAAAACGATGTCTTTAGCTGCTGGTTTTCTCCAAGCGTGAGCCTGATCAGTCTTGGCAATTCTAAGTTTCACTAGGTGACTTGCTTCCAAAGCGTTTTCACTTGAAGTAACAAAACCTTTCATCATCTGTTTACTATGTTTGAACTATGATAATTTTCTCTTAAAATATTCTTTACATTTATCCTTTAAATTGGCACGCTTAGATTCAAGACGTTTTTTAAGAAACGATGGTTTCATACTTTGATTGGATAATAGTTTACCGTAAGCAACACATTGAGGTTGAGGGTCCATCTCCATTTTAAGTAAACCCAAATGATAAATAACTTTAATTATATTTTCTGTTATTCTTCTGTTATATTTATTATATCTATTATACTTATATTATTTATTTTTTAATATTCTATTACGATATTCTCAAATCACGTAGAAAAGAAAGGAACACAGAGTAACAAGAAAGCAAAATACCTGTTAGAAACTGCCAATAGCTGTCAAAACATGATTCTAATCGAAAATAGAGCAATATGAGCGCGAAAATGGTGATAGCAGAAAGTGTAAACATGCTAATAAATCGATCAACTCTAAAAGAATTAATGGCATACTATTATCTTTTCATAGGAACGTATTTTTATTTCCAACTAAATACATCATACATTTCTATAACTCCTTTTAAAAACATCATTTGTGACAAATTTTGTTATGTCTATGGCTAAAATTATATTTGTGAAAATAAAAACGAATTATTTTGCTAAAGTCTATGAGCGGCTATTGACCTTGAAAAAAGCTCGGATCGAATTTTGAATTTATTAGTTGAAAATATTTTTTTTCGTACCACCTACTTTTCTCTTGCGTACCACCAGTGGTACGTCTACCAAGAATTGAGAGTGGCTGATTGTAAATAAGTAGATATATGTTTTGTTAAATAAAAGTACATATATGTTACTGAGTGCATGTGGGTGCGTAGTAGATTGAATGCACACAGAATTGATGATAGCTTGATAAAATTTTACCAAAAGGAACACTTCACAGCTCTACAACTTTCGACAAAAGTACTCGCACAACTCTTCACAATATCACAGAATACAATCATTAATTACACTTCAAACTACTGAGAATGTTAAACACAACGCATTGCAATCTCATCTAAAAAGCGAAGCTAAGAGGGAGATATCTCAATACTCCGAATTCACGCTGAACTAAGCAACAACTTCTGAGAGCAGACGCTCTCTCTGGTCATATATAGTTTTCACCTGGCCAACGAGAAGTCCCTAGTACCTTCCATTTCTCTATATAGCTGAAAGGCATATACCGTTAAAGTTACATCCGAGAGCCATGTATAGTTACAGCTACATACAGGATCAAATACAGTTACACATTTACAATACCCATTACAGTTATACAGGGATTGGAGCAAATGGTCGCCAAGTTTGATGACTGTTCGAGATTTCTCGCCAAATTGGGCGACAAAAATTAGTTACCAAAACCATCACTAGCTTGGCGATATCTCACCAACTTAGCGAAATACGCAATGTCTTATCGAGGACTTATCGAGGATCGTAATCCCTGTGAGAGGTGCCAGCGTCATTGATAATATATTAAAGTATAGTTAAACTTATGTATTAAGACATATTTACGTATCTAAACGGGATTACATTTATATTTCTATTTTATTTAACTTAATGGGTGATGTTAATTGTTGGGGTGATTACTTTGGGGTTGTTAATAGATATCTTTTGAGCTTTACAGATCTGTTTTGGCCTCCTTATGAACACTTGTAATGTTCTGAAGTTTTATGTCAAGCTCGTTTTCAGTAAAAACGTATATGACTCTTCTTGGTGCGCAAACGTTTTGACAATAAAGTTACTTCTGAATGCATTCTATAAAATGAAACTCAAAATTTCCCTTTTGAATTTTCCTTTTGATTTAAATCGTTTAAAGAGTAGAACAAGGTTGTAATTACTAATACAGAAAATGTTTTTCATAAAGTATCACTTTTTAGTTATTAAAAGGAAGTCCATGCAACAAATTGGGAAAAATACATTATTGGAATCAATATTGCTCTCCTTTAAATGCATGAGTCCTTAATAAATGTAGCTTATAAAAGATTTTAATCTTTTCTAATTTCTCATATGCGACAGTATTTTACTCATTTACTCTTTTAGAAATCGTCTCCAGAATATTGTCAATGTCAAGCATCAATAATTCTCAGATTTCTCTATAGAACATCAAAATTTCATTTGATCTATATTCCAGAATGTTTTAACTATGTACTAGAGTTCTTTGACGTTTCTGTCTTTAGTTGTTTAGTCAGATAAATCAAGTTAAAAAATTAATATAAATGATGAGACATTTTACTTGAAAACAAAACCCCATCTAAGAGGATGGATCGAAGTACTTGCTTTAGATAAATCATCAGAAATGGTGGGTAATTAAAAGGCATGACTGCCTTTTTAAACTGCAAAAATGGGAAGGCCACATCTGATCGATTCGAAATTTCGATCATAGGTGAACATACAAGCAATACGTATGCGAATCATGCTTGTCAGTAGCGACCACTGAAAGTTTTGTAAGACGGGAAAAAAAGAACGTATCGAAGTCCTGTTTGCACGCCGTGCTTTTATATAAGCAACTGACTTATATAAGTTGAAGCTTCGTTAAAGAATAGGAATTCCACACTATCAGGCTCCCGACTTTGATCGATGAAGATTTCCGTTTATCGAACTAGTGGATTTTCATTTTGAGAAACGTATAACAGTCACGATGATGCAAAAGTAATGGATATATTTTAATGAAATTTCGTATGAATAATATATCTGTCACACAGAAGGAGATGTACCAAATGAAAGTCATTTTATGTTTACATGATTATCAATAGTACCGCCCAATGGATAAGTAGCTAGCGCGTTACGCAGCTGCACCACAGGTCCGGGGTTCGATCCTCGGGCTGGATAAGGTTGACTCAGCCTTTCATCCCTTAAGTGGGTCGATAAAAACAGTGCCAAGTTCGCTTGGGGAGTAAACACCGGGGGAC